ACAATTATCACGATGCAAAATTTCAAGAATAATAATATTATCTTGTTTAAATGGTTACTTTTCTTCAAATAACTAGTTATGCTTTATTCTCTTGTATGTACATTGCAGGTGAAAAATACCTTGGTGCGTAATGCCAAGAGCGGCATCAAACAAATGAAATGTAGTACTTTGCGATGCACTTGCTCCTGAAAACTGTAATAATAATGGTAAAATAATTACATTCCGTAGAAAAAATTAGTGTTCACCTAATCACAATGTCACATGGCCGGAAATGATTGGTTTATTATTTAAATTTAGTGCTAAAAAACGGTATCTTGTTTGACTCATTTTTAATTTTTTTTACGAATATACTAGTAACATAGCTTTTAAAGCTTTAATCGTGAACTATGTCAGGTTATAAAGCATACACTATTGACGTATTTAAGAGTATATTTCGAATTATTTATGACCATAATGATGTTTTATTCGTCGAAAATTTACGTGTGGCTAATATGCTTATAAAGACATGCACCCCTCCTCTCTGCCGGCGCAACTTCAGTAGGTCACTAAAAGTTAATTCAACCTTGAAAAATTATTACGAACCTTAAATGGTTTTGAGCTCACTCCTTCATAAATAATTCCATCTGGAAGCGATTTGTTGTTCTTCCAACTAATTGAAAACATTTATGTTGTATAGTATCTGCGAACGATTCCCAAGTTATTATAAATTAATCAAATCATTGCAACAATTACGTGGTCGGACGGAAGACGTTGCTGCACGATGCTGCACTACATGTTGCACATTTTGCATAATAAGGTTGCAAAATGCACGCACGCTTGTTACATAACGCACCCTGATGTCGCGTAATATGTTGCCATTAATGTTGTATTACTTTGACTAGTGGTGCATGCCACAGATCAAAGAAAAAAAACATTACACAAATGCGGTTTTTACTATCATAGAGCATTTTAATTTACATGTAAGTTGAAAGGAAACGGGTTTTGTGTCAGCGATCGTTATGATTACATAAATAGTGATGAGGGACTTTCTTTTTGGGCAGTATGGGGCGTTGTGTTTGTAGTGTACCGAACTTTATTAGTAACAGCTAATTTCAAAGAAAGTTAAACTGATTATCTGTTTTTCAATGCGTCCGCACATGAGAAGAACAAATTTTGAAGCAGGTTTAGATTATTTGAACATTACATAATTATTTGTATTATGCTCGAAATCTCGAATTTTTGTATGTGTATGATGCAAAAATATAGCATACTATACCCGGCTAGAAATATCCGTAATTTCGTATAAAAGAAAGTTGGACTACATTGTTCTAAAACATATTGTCAAAATGTTAGCTAAATAATTCACTCAAAGTCGTTTTGTGATTATTATAAGAGTAATACAAAACGACGATGATGATGATGATAATACCTGTGGTAATGGCAGTGATGATAGTGGGGATGAGGGTAATGATAATGATGGTGCTGATTATAACGGTAATGATGATAATGCTTAGGGTGATAGTGGTGATAAGGCCTAGGTAGGTGGTGATGACAGTGGTGATGAGGACTATGATTGTGGTGATAGTGGTGATGTTAGTGGTATATATACCCGTCCCAGGGTCTTTTGTGTTCATTTCCGCACAGTCTAGTCCCTAGGCCTCTCATACGTTCTTTAGTACAGCGATTTCACGCGATTTCATTACTATGCAGGCGAACTCCTGAGAGTCCTAGACCAAAATATTTTTTGGCTAAAATGGGGATTTTTTGTCCCTCTTTATATTGAGATAAGTGGTCCATTAGTAGCAACAGACGGAAATTCCACTGAGCGAATAATAGGGAGTTTAGTTTACGATCTACGACGCGGTTAGCTGACCTTGTTCGATATCACTATAGACAAATATTTTGCTTGAAAAAAGCTACGGGAAATAATGCTTCTGTTGATGGTGGTAATGAGGATGATGATGTTGGCATATACGATGATGATAGTCATGATGACGATGCTGGTGATGATGGTGGTGATGATGCATAGATTCACTGATTTTTCATACCATACATTCTTTTTAACGATTTTTTAATTTCTGAATAGTTGCTTGTAAAACGACCAAGCATGCGCAGAGTAGTTCTTGATTTTGTCACGCACAGCCTAAAGGTAACGATATTAAAAGAGCAAGAAATCAAGATAATGTATAAAAGCTTAATAGTATGGAAAAAACGCAGACCTTACTTGTTGATCAAATAACGTTTCTAATGATTGAAAGATCAGAAAGGATGCGACAAGTTGTAGCATGTTTATCGAATCGAATAGTGTCATTATTTACGATTCTCTTATGTTTGGTAAAGTTCTTCAAAACTTTGAAAAAGTTAATAGTTGACAACATACTTTTTGTGCAGCGACTACACTCTAGAGTTGTGAAAATAGACAATTTTAATTAGTCACAATTTGGCTGACTCATTAGGGACAATAACTAGTAGGTCCGTCACCAGAAGCTTAATTGGGAAGAGGGGATGCATATTCATATATTCGTCTTATGCCCGACTAATTTCTTTTATTAGCTATTGTTTTTACGGTTGTACGCACATGGATATATTAGTATGTAACCCCCTTCCCCAATCAGCTTCTAGCGACGGCCCTGATATAACCAGTTAATTTAGTAAACGATGTTGCAGACTCAGGGAAAGTCAGATTATCACAGCTCTGACTTGAATTGTAATCATATATTGGTAGATTTTTAAGTAGAAATATTCTTTTGAAAATGGATAAACAACAGGGTTGGTATTATAAAGTATTTTGAAATTCTGAAATTAGGCCGTATAATATATTCCGACGTACCCTGAACTGGCATAGACTACCGTTGTCTGGTGAAGGAATTGTTAGCGCTAACCATAGTGCGACTAAATCAAGCTTTGCTTACCCTCTCAATTGATGCTCAATATGGAAAATCAAGTCTTGGCCAGCAAGCAAAATCACAAAAAATTTCAGGACTTACCTTAATTCCTGGTACAGACTGGATTTCTATATCCCAGTGAATTAAAAAGAACCAAATCTCCTCATTTGATCCGGTATATAAAGATTGCATATCAATGTTGCTAGAGGAAGTAAATCGTTTGACAACATATATGAATTGACCCTTTTTTTATATCAGACCAGCATTTGATTTAGGCAACAAAATGGGAATTTCCGAAAAGTGAAAACCAAACTTAGTAAAATTGCCAAGTTTGGCAGCGAAATATGGTAAAGTACGGAAATTATGGCCATGCGATGTAGGCGATTTTACTACCGAAATATAGTTACACGCTTCCGGGCATAGTAAAAAGATTACAAAATTTGCCTACTTTGCATGGCTATATATATTTCAAAATACTCGACATTTTGCTGCCAAACCTGGCAATTACACTAATTTATGTATGCTCTTTTCTTTCTTCTTAGAAACTAGAACATAATTATTTTAATTATGCAAATAGGTCCATTGTTTTAACGGGGCTAGTTTTTAGGCTAATAATCTTAGGAAAGTCTCAAGACGGTCAATCTCAGGGAAAGAAATAGAACTTAGAGAAGAATACTTCAACTTCAGATGAAATTTTCTTGCTTTTACAATTTTGCCACTATGATATCTTCTTATAGTTTTTCACACTGTTTTTTCTATCACGAAGTCATGAATAAGATATTTAATACACCTATTTCCAGTCTCCTTCGGCCTCTGCCACGGCTAAAGTAATACGGCTATAATTATATGGCCCATCCCCAAAATAGGTCAGCCTGATTCGATAAAATATCTACCTTATATCCAAAGCGGGTCTTTAAAATATGAAAATTTAATGAAAAAAAAAACATTAGTAAAAAACATTACAAAGTCTCTTGAAAGTTTTTATAAAAGATCTGTTTGCTAACGCTAATCACTAACCTTGTTTCATCTTTAATTTTCCAGTTATTGATCAGAGATGACCAGACGCAAGCAACAGGATACACACCTACATTATATTATGAAAACTTCTTTGATTATACCAATTAATTATATAGCTCAGCTGTATATTTGCATAATTTGAGATATGTAGACCTTTGTCGAAAAACTCGAATTCTGAAGCTATATATAATCTACCAAAAACATTGAAAACATGCAGTACTATTATTCATTGCTTATCTATTATATATATATACGGAAAAAGCATCCAACATTATTAATTATACTCTTTCCTATATACCAATATGATTTGCAGCCGCCACCAATGGTATTGATAAACACTTTGGAATAATCTAAACGAAATCAATAAATATAATATTTGCCTGCGAATAGGAATTTTATGTCTGTCATCTTGTTTCATTATCATAATGGGCAACTCTGCCAAAGGGGTGGAGGAAATCTGCTCTGAAGAGATAAAACTTTAGCTGTAGGCAAATAATTTAACAGATGGAACAATTAGATTATTTTCAGGGTGCTATCATAAGACACACTCATAAACATTTCAAGTTAGTCGCTTAAAGTCAGCTGGCGAAGCAAGTCAAACTATTCTAAACAGTTTCATACATCCCACCTCCTCCCCATGCCTGCATCAACGAACCTGGTTGTGATGGTATTCGGGGCTAGGGGGGGCGTTATTGTAAATTTTACCCTCACCTTACTGGGCAAAACAATGTGATGAAAAATATGTAAAGTTATATAGTTAATCAGTTCTGTTAAAGTTAATAAATATTACGTCATTTTATTAATAAAATGGCTAGGGGTAATTGTAACCCCTAGCTCAAAATATCCCAAACTCGTGTTTGGCTCTTTCAATCGTAATTAAGACTGTGGGAAAATGCCCAGTAACGAGCTGCGGAAATGCAACATCCATGGAGCGACATGCGAGGAAATAATATACAAATATTACTCGCGCAAGATGACAGACATAAATGCTAGTAAAATAGAAGTGTAGGTAAGTGTAAGTAAGCAGATTATAGTTTAGCTATATAACTTGCGCATGCAAATTGTTATCAGTGTTAGACCTCTATACATCAAGGGATTTGTATCATATTATTTTATAAAAGAGTTCAAGCTGAATCCATGAACATATATAAATATCAGTTTACCTTTGGTGGATTGTTTTGCCCATTTTGCCAGACATAACCATGAGTAATAGCGGTAAGAACAGTCAACGCTCTTCCCCACTCCCGTTCACTTGCCAAGTGATTATGATCGAGTATTGGCATCTAGATTTGAAAGAAAATTTAGCAGCTTTTCTGTTATTTTCTGTATTTTCAGATAATATGTATCTATATGTCGAATGGCCTGTAACGGTAAAGGGTAAACTAAAGGCCGTTTTCCACTTCAACCGTATCGTAGCGAAACGTAGCGAATCTGATTGTTTTAAAGTCGAATACAAAGAAATACGCTACGCTACGTTACGCTACGATACGATTGAAGTGGAAAACAGGCCTAAGGCTAAGACCCCGTTTACACTACACTCAATTTATTGGCACGGCGTCGGCAAGGCAAAAATGGGTACCAATTTTATTAGTGTTGAGGCTACCAAAACTAAGACAGACACAAGATGAAATGGGCCCGCACTGTAAAAAATGAATGGTTGAAACAACCAAAAAAAAAAGGTTCTCCTGGATGCAACCAGGACAACCAATTAAAATTTGGTTATTTTTTTACCAAATTCATTTTGGTTAAAATTACCAATATTAATATTGGTTGAATCTACCAATATTTAATAGGTTGATGTAACCTGTATTGAATTTGGTTAATGTAACCAATGTGCAATGGTTTTTTTGACCAATTATTTTAACCAATTAAAGATTGGTTAAATTATCCTGAAATTCAAAGCACTTCAAATCAAATTTTGTCAATACACACATATATATTATAAAAGATCTAATATAATAAATAATTTATCCTAATGGTTATTTGCACACATATATACAAGTTACTACATGCAAACACTTATCTTACTAGGATTCATCTATACTTAGGTCATTTCCAGGTTCTCAAAGCTGGGGTAAAAAGTTTTCAATTCAATTGGAATGTTCCGTTTTCCGTCTGTTTGTAGTAATATCTGGTCCAGAAGAAGGAAACACATTCTTTGTCTACCCACCTCCAGCTTTAGGGTTCTCTGCGTTGGATACATACAATGCAGTCAGCAAACACATAACTTCATTTAAGATGGAAAACTGCTTAAACTTTATTGCTACCATGCCTTCAGCCACAAGGTCTAGTGAATGTCACCAAGAGATCCAGTTAATAGCACCTTCGGGGATGTGCTTTTTTTGACAATAGTCAAAATTTCAACACCACTGTCATCCTAAAATAAAATTTAAAAATTATAAAACTTAATATTCCTAAGCTTGGAAATAAAACATTTACATATGGGAAAAATCCTGGGACACAAAAGAACAAGACCCTACACTAGACAAGAAGCCACTTGAGCATATTTTAAGTTTTTATGGCCTATAGTTTAATATTTACAGGGCCAATTTCCCAAAAAAATTGGCCAGGTCTTTTTCTGTCCCAACTGAAGCAGTGGGGCAGTGAAAATGCAATGGTTTTCCATTTCTTTTAAATAAGTTTGATTACAAGATTCAGCAGGCAACATAATAAATGTGATTTGCATACTGTATTTCAACGTTGTATATTATATACATATATATCTGTAGATACCTTTTTCTTGTTCGGGTGACAATCCTCTAACAGACCAATAATGTGTTGGACATCTTTGTTCTTGTTCTTTTCCAGAGCAGCCAGCATTGACGGCTTCTTTGAATCAATGTTTCGGCATCTCAACCATGTGCATTGAAATGATGCTCTACACACAGAAAAAGTAAAAGTCAACAATAGCTAAACCAAGATATGTATATAAGATATATTAACTTCCACACATAGTTACTAACAATACTACTTACCACATATACTCTTAATTTTCTCTGGGTTGAGTTGGGGTTTTGCATCCTTTTCTTTAAAGGCATTTGAAGCTTTTCCAGGGATGGAATGACAGCAAAGTTGTTCTTGCATCCTTGACATGCCCATAATTGCCTAAACCAAATCTTTTACATTTAATTTTGCTTTTATAACTCTATTTTGACCTTTGGTTAATATG